ATTAGAGTGGTATCATCTGCATATCTGAGGTTATTGATACTTCTCCTGGCAATCTTGACTCCAGCTTGTGATTCATTCAGCCCAGCATTTTGCATGATGTACTCTGCATATAAGTTAAATAAGCAGGGTGACAATCTACAGCCTTGATGTACTCCTTTCCCTATTTTGAACCAGCGTGTCATTCCATGTGCAGTTTTAACTGTTGCTTCTTGACCTGCGTACACGTTTTTCAGGAGGCAGGTCAGGTGGTCTGGTATTGGGTCTCTTTAAGAATATTGCACAGTTTGTTGTGGTCCACATAGTCAAAAGCTTTATCATAGTCAACGAAGCAGAAGTAGATGTTTTTTTTGGAATTCTCTTGCTTTTTCTATGATCCAGCAGATGTTGGCAATTTGATCTCTAGTTCCTCTGCCTTTTCTAAATCCAGCTTATACATCTGGAAGTTCTTGGTTCATGTACTGTTGAAGCCTCATTTGAAGGATTTTGAACATTACCTTGCTAGCATGTGAAATGAGCACAGTTGTGCAGTAGTTTGAACATTCTTTGGGATTGGAATGAAAACTGACCTTTTCCAGTCTTATGGCCATTACTGAATTTTCCAAATTTGCTGGCATGTTGATTGCAGCACTTTAAAAGTATCATCTTTTAGGATTTTAAATAGTTCCACTGGAATTTCATCACCTCCACTAGCTTTGTTTGTAGTACTGCCTCCCATGGCTCACTCGACTTCACATTCCAGGAAACGACTCTACACATGGACATCATCAGACTGTCAATACCAAAATCAGATTGATTATAATCTTTGCAGCTGAAGATGGAAAAGCTCTATACAGTCAGAAAAAACAAGACCTGGAGTTGACTCTGGCTCAGATCATGAGCTCTTTATTGCAAAGTTCATGCTTAAATTGAAGAAAGTAGGGAAAACCACTAGGCCATTCAGGTATGACCTAGATCAAATCCCTTATGATTATACAGTGGAGGTGACAATAGATTCAAGGGATTAGATCTGGTAGAGAGAGTGCCTGAAGAACTACAGACGGAGGTTTGTGACACTGTACAGGAGGGGGTGAACGAAACCATCCCCAAGAAACACAAATGCAAGAAGGCAAGATGGTCGTCTGATGAGGCCTTACAAATAGCTGAAAGAATAAGAGAAGTGAAAGGCAAGGGAGAAAGGGAATGAAATACCCAACTGAAGGCAGAGTTAAAGCCTTCTTAAGTGAGCAATGCAAAGAGATAGAGGAAAACAACAGAATTGGAAGGACTGGAGATCTGTTCAAGAAAACTGGAGATACCAAGGGAACATTTCATGCAAAGATGGGCACAATATAGGACAGAAACGGCAAGGAGCTAACAGAAGCAGACGGGATTAAGAAGAGATGGCAAGAACACACAGAACTATCCAAAAAGGTCTTAATGACCCAGATAACCATGATGGTGCGGTTACTCACCTATAGCCAGATATCCTGGAGTATAACATCGAGTGGGCCTTAGGAAGCATTACTACAAGCTGAGATGACCAATACCAGGAGTGAAAAAGGAGATATCAGTATAGCTCTTACACACATGAAAATATGATAAGAGATATAAAGATAAAGATGAAATGAACAGATTTCTTGAAAAATACAGCTTATAATTAACATAAAGAGAAACAGAATTTGAATTATCCTACGTCTGTTTTTAAAAACTCGAACCTAAAAATAAAACCTTCCCACATGACAATTCTCCATCCAGATGGCTTTCCTGGTGAATTCCACAAACACTACAGAGGAAACAGGGCCTTATTCAACCTTCACTATTTCACAGAATAGGAAATAGGGCCACTAGCTCACTCACTTGTGGACCAGCATAACTGTCACAGCAAAGCCTGATTTTATAAAAAAGGAAATTATAGATAAATTCATGAATGTAGACATAAAAATTTTAAACAAGATATTAGTAAATTAAACCCAGCTACATAGTAAAAGGATAGTACATAGAACAACCAAATAGGGTTTATTTTAGGAATGAAAGGGAGATTTAATATCAGAAAATCTCCCTATATAATTTTTCATATTAAATGAACTTATGAGAAAAATCACTTACTTATGTCAATATATGCAGAAAAATTATCACAAAATTCATGACCTATTCATGATTAAAAACTCAGAAAACTGGAAATTGAAAGGAGTGTTCTTAATCTGATAAAGAGTATCATCAAATATATCTGGAGTGAGTTTCATGCTTTACAGTGAAATATCTAAAACTTCTCCTCTGAGCTCAGAAATAAGGAAAGGTGGTCTGCTACCATCACTTCTAGTCACTGTACTTCACCAAAACATGAGTTGCACATAGAAGAATCCAGGTGAATTTACATAATAATTATAAAATTTATAAATTAAGCAAGGCCGCTGAAGCAAGATTAGTATACAGAAATCAATTCCTTTTCTAGAAAGTTAATACACAAATATATACAATAGCATAAACAAGGACTTTGGCATGACTATCAAAAGATGTCCAAGATATTTACTCAAAAGACCACAGAACAGTATTGAAAGAAATAAAGAAAGTCCAAACCAATGGAAGGAGCTACTAAAATCACTGGTTGGGTGATTTCAAACGGTGAAGATGTCCAGTCTATCCAAGCTGATCTACAGATTCAATACGATCCAAAATGCAATCCCATCCGTTTTTTTGTTTTTAATGGCTACTGACAAACGGATTGATTAAGATTCACATGAACATCCAATCTCTTCGTAAGGAGAAAGAAGAGTTGACAGGCTTACATTGCTGGGAATCAGGACTTATCACAAAGGCACAGAGGCTACAACCATGCAAAAATGGCAGGTGACAGATGAAGGGGCAGGCGGGAGAACCCAGTCCCTCAGTGCACAGTCCTGAAGACACCTCTGCGGTGCGCTGGCACAGGCTGGCTTTCCAGCTAATGGTCTTGGAGAAATCGAATACACACACGGAGAAAGCACGTGGATCTCAACCCCTATCTCACACCATCCACAAAAATAAACCTCCCATGGATCATAAACCCAAATACAAGAAGTTAAAAGAATAAAATTTCTACATTGTAACAGGCTCAGGAAGCTCTGAGAGTAAAGACAAACAGTCAACAGACTTCATTAAAATGAAGAACTTGCACTGATCAAAAACCTCATCAGGGGAGTATAAAGTTGAACCACAGTGCTGGAGATAGAATCTGTAATCCCCAGAGCTGACAAAAGGCTGCACTTCAGAACTCCTAAAAATTATCTTTAAAAAAAAGAGAGATAGCTGAACAGAAAAATGAGCAGACACTTGAAATGGTACTGCAGAAAAAAAAAAAAAAGAAAAGTTTCCAAACATATTATATCATGATCCACCAAGGAAATGCAAATTAAAAACACAATTCTATATTATACAGACCCAACTACATGGCAACATCTTTTAAAACTGGGATAACAAATGGTGGTGGGAGATGGAGTAGAAGGAATCTTCACTCAGCAGGTATGAGTGTGCAGCACCCAGAGAGACACAGTGTGTGCATGGCTACGGTCAGGAAAGACGTATAATTATAAAACAGAGGGGAATACCAGGGAGGCATGCACACACACACACATCTGAAGAAGTGTGTACACGTGTGCGGGAGGCGACACATGAATGTTCACAGCAGCACTGCCTATTGTCAAGCAGTTACCCCAGCTCCATGGACACTGAATGAATAAGTCAGCTGTGTTATCTTCACACAGGACAACCACAGCAACGACGTGGGTCAAGCTCCCTGCAAAATGCTGAGTGAGGAGCCCAGAGACTGGGCATTCCTTCCGTAAGTTCTAAAAGAGGCAAACTCAGCATGTGCAGTCAGACCTCTGACTAGCAGTCACCTGCTGGGAAGTGGGAGCTGATGGGTGTGCAGTGTCCCAAGCCCGGCTCCTGGCATTGCCCCCGCTGGACCGCAGGGTCTCAGTCGTGAAGGCTCTTCCACATGTGTAACACGCCCACAGGATATCAGCAGTGAAGTCTGTTCCACATGTGTAACACGCCCACAGGATATCAGCAGTGAAGTCTGTTCCACATATGTAACACGCCCACAGGGCCGCAGCAGTGAAGTCTGTTCCATGTGAGTAACACGCCCACAGGGCCTCAGCAGTGAAGTCTGTTCCGTGTGTGTAACACGCCCACAGGGCCTCAGCAGTGAAGTCTGTTCCGTGTGTGTAACACGCCCACAGGGCCTCAGCAGTGAAGTCTGTTCCGTGTGTGTAACACGCCCACAGGGCCTCAGCAGTGAAGTCTGTTCCGTGTGTGTAACACGCCCACAGGGCCTCAGCAGTGAAGTCTGTTCCGTGTGTGTAACACGCCCACAGGGCCTCAGCAGTGAAGTCTGTTCTGTGTGAGTAACACGCCCGCAGGGCCTCAGTAGTGAAGTGTGTTCCATGTGTAACAGGCCTGCAGGGCCTCAGTCACAAAGTTTGTTCCGTGTGTTTAACACGCCCCATGACTGCGTGAACGGATTCCTGAAGGTGAATGGGGTGAATGTGGTTGTGGATCAGACCCTGCCATCCCCCGTTCAGCAGCAGGGCCTCCTTCTTGAGTTGCTACAACTGGGACCAAGAGCGCTCTCCTGGTGGAGGTGTTCTAAGGACCAAATTCTTAATCATGACCCTGACGAAATGCACAGCACAGGCTGGAGCAATCACCGCAGCTACTCCTGGGCCCATGAGGACGGGCCCGTGAGCACATGCCTGGACCCCGGGATGTGGTCCGGAACACACAGACTGACCGCCCACGACTCCCACGCAGAGCTAGGCCCTGCGCCGGCACCCAAGTCTGCACGCCCTTGGACGAAACGAGATGCTCCCTCTCTGTCTATAAAGTAAGGTCGTGGTGGCTCGGTCCTTTCTTAGCCTTTGGGCTGTTTCGGAGAATAAATATTTGGTGACTGCAAAGAAGTCTGTTTCTTGGGTGTAATGACCAAGACAATGGGGCGTGTTGTTTTTATAACGTGGATTTTAGAATCAGCTCAGTCTCACAGCTCTCCGGGGGTGGCGTGAGCAGGTGGAAGGTGGAGCCCAGCCTGCAGCCGTTACACGCAGAGCCAGTGGTGCAGTGACCGCCGCTGCAGGCACGTGCTGCCCGTGACCAAGAAGTGTCACCTTCAGGGGACGAACGGTGACAGTGTTTGATACGCATAAAACCCCGAGGGTCTCCTCGTGGGCCACGACCGTGCTTGCAATAGTTAAATAGGCCATGAAGTACAAGTCGGAGGCAAATTGTTGATGTCAGTGTTGGCTGCTCAGTTGTGTCGGACTCTTTGCGACCCCATGGACTGTAGACCGCCAGGCTCCTCTGTCCATGGAATTCTCCAGGCAAGAGAATCAGAGTGGGTAACCATGCCCTTCTCCAGGGCAATGTTCCTGACCCAGGGATCGAACCTGGGTCGCCTGCATTGCAGGCAGAATTTTTTACCAGCTGAGCTACCGGGGAAGCCCTACACTGATGTCAAGTATATGGACTGCTTGAGATAGGAGCTCTTCAAAAACAAGCTGAGTGTTTTCTCATTCAAATTACCCTGTGCCAGCTTACCTCCTTAAATCGTTTTTTTTCCTGTATTAACAATTTCAAGATTTTAAAATGTACAGTAAAATATAGAAGATGCAGAGCAAATAGTAATAATATTATATCAGTTTTTAAAAGAGTTTTTTAATCATATAAAATGACAGGTCTTTCCTACATTTTTCAAAGTGCAGTTCTGGATTAAAGGCACTGCGCCTCACTCTTCCTGAGAATTATCAGCCGCCTGTCACATCTGACATGCCTGAACCAAGAGAAGCACAACCTCACGGCTGCTAGGATCTCGTCCACACACTCCACTGCCTTTACTCACTCATTTTTCTTCCAAGAATGGCTCTCTTAATGTTTTAAAACACTCCATTTTCTATGTCACTGACCAACTATGTCGGTGAACACTGACCAACATGCGAACTACATTTTAGCAAAGAGAAAGAAGATATGCGGTGTCTGGAGGAAAAGGAAATGGAGGGACTCTTGTCAAGAGAGTGCCCCGCCCCCCCCGCCCCTCCTCACCACGCAGGACTGGAGGTCTGGAGAAGGTGGGCTGCCCGCGTCTCAGCCGATGGAATCAGCTCTGACCACCTGCTGTCCTAACGAAGCTGCCCAGGCGGTCTGCACAGTGTCCCCGAAACTCAGGTACATGTAGGACCCCAACCCTGAACAACTCGTCATAGTCTGCGCCTTGAGGACAATATTTCCCTCTGCGTCAGGGCCAGTCCCAGTTCCTGCCAGATGTCTTTAACAACCCGTGGCTTGTGCCTTTACCAGCCTCTGACTCCTTCTCTTCCCTGGAACCCTCTCAGTTTTACCTGAATCTGTGTCTCCCAAGTTGCAATTCCTAAGGCCCCCAAATAAAGCTCTCTGTTGTCTACAGATTACTTTTTGACAGGTGATCAAAACCCGTTAAAATAAGCTGGATATCACCCATTTTACTAAGGCTAGTGATGCACAAGACATGGATTTAACCTAAAAGTAAAAGCTTTTCTCAGGTGGAAGCGCCTATACTTCCTTCAGACCCCACCACCAGCCGTAAAGGGTCTGGTGTTAGCTCCAGAGGCAGCGAGGGTCGGGGCGCAGGGGAGGAGCGGGCTGCGTTGACAGAGCGCTTCCTACACGTGGCTCCGTCCGCCTGTGCGCTTCACAGACACACAAAGAGAAAGCACACAGTCTGCTCCGCGGCACACAGCCGCTACGAGACCGCCCCGGATTTGAACCTGTCCTCGTGCTCCTGAACACGGGGCACCGTCCCTCAGCAGAGTGCCGTTGGGAGGCTTCCACCGGGGCGTTTCTGAGTGGGGAGGGGAGGGCCAGGCTGCGTCTGTGTTTTCAAAGCATGACATCAGCATGGGGCTTCCCTGGAGGCTCAGCTGGTAAAAAATTCTGCCTGCAATGCAGGTGACCCAGCTTCCACCCCTGGGTCAGGAACATTGCCCTGGAGAAGGGCATGGTTACCAACTCTGATCTTCTTGCCTGGAAAATTCCAGCACTTGAACTGCATTCTTATCCCCCATCAGCATTGTCTCCTCAAATGAGACATGCAAACGTCAGCGTCAGCATTGTATTGTACCTTCTGAGGGAGTCTGGCTGGGTCGGCACAGAGGAGGGCGGGGGAGTGGTCTCTGCCCCCCTCACGGGCTGAGACAGCTTAAATGGGAGATTTCCCATCTCCTGTTTTTGGCAGAATCACTCAGTTCTGCTACTTACCTGAAGAGGCAAAGAATTATGCTTCCTGTTGTAAGGGAGATCAGAGAGGCGCTGTAGCCCAGGGTGTAAATGGCCTTCACCAGAATGTAGAACGTGATCTGAAAGAGAAGGAGATGCATCTGTGAGCCACAGCGGGGCCCTCCTCCTCGGGATGGGCTGGGGGGCTGCTGCTGCTGCTGGGTCCTGGAGTTCCACCTCTGCCCTGAGCCAGAAACGACACTCAACACGCACCTGCTCCCTTCCAAGGCACCGTGAATGACTTGGCCTGGTCTCCATAAGGCAAACCTGTCTGGAGGGTGTGAGCTGGGGAACCTCAGGAAGCCAGGACGGTGGGTGGCACCTTTGGAGGGGCCTCCAGGCCTGCCCAGAGCTGGGGGACCAGATGCGGTCAGCCCTCCAGACGCAGGGACCCATCTCTGCAGCTCGTCTTCGCCTCTAGGGGGAGAAGCCCACCCAGGTGGGTGCTGGGCCCAGCTCGTGGTCTTCCCTGAGGTCACCCTGCCCACGGAAATGGCCACTTTCAAGCAGAACCAGGCGGGTCTGACCCGGGAAGACCAGGCTGAGGCAGGATCCTGCCTTCTGTGGCGCGTGGCTCCGGGCTCCCTCTGCGGACCCCTGGTGTGGTCGGGGTCTCAAGTGCATGGAGACGGCAGAGCTAAGAGTGAGAGAAAGCAGATCCTGCCTCCGGTAACCCGGAGGCTCACAGGTTAGCCTGTGTGGGACGTGTCGCTTTCTGTGGCCTCGAGCCTGCGAGGGAGGAAGCAGGGACGCATTGGGGCTCGGCAGCGTCCTTGGAAACCCGGATTGGAGGGTCTGTCCCCCCTTGTTGCCCTGACGCGGGGTCACAGGCAGGACGGGCATGTTTGGAGCAGCTGCCGCCGACGTATTTCACACCCACCGAAACACAGGAAACGACGTGATGAGCACACACGCCTGCAAACAGGCCCCAGGAGCGAAGCCACAGCTGAGTAAACGGGGGGTGCCTGGGGACCCTGCCCAGGCCCGACGCCCGCGGACCCTGCCAGGGCCCGATGCCCGTGGACCCGCCCCGGGCCCAATGCCCGTGGTGCACCTTTAGCACACGGGTCCGCTCCCGGGTCTCGGCGGGGTCGCGGGTGGTCTCCTCTCTTGGAACTGCCTGCCCGCCGGCCGTGGTGCTCGCCCTGTGGTGCCCGTCGCCTGTTCGTAGTTACCTGCCTCCTTTATTATTGTTCAAACGGTGTGCTGCGTTTTCCCTTCTCGACCTTTTTCCTCACATGTTTCCTGATTCTCAAGGCCCCCTCTGCTTTCTGCATCCCTCGGAAGCACACTCCTCAGGCTCGTCTGATGGGTCTGTGGCTGTGGACCCACCAGGCTTGTTTTCTGGACCGCCTCTTCCCCGTGTTTCTGAGCGCACCCTGTGCTGGATCCCGAGAGTCCCAGGTGGGGGAGGAGCCCACGTCCGTGGGGTCTGCGGGGGGCAGCCTGTCTCAGACTCTCAGCGGCTGGGTGTTTTCTGGGCTCACCGCAGCTGCCTGACTGGGGCTGGCCCTCTGTCCACGGTGCCTGGGTGGCCGGGGTCTGACCGTCCTGCCGGGGCTGTGCTCACAGTGACACTGCTCCCTCATCCCAGGGACCCTCCACGACCTGCCCCCTCACCCCTCTGCTGTCCCGGCAGTTTCTTTGGACTTATCCTCCCCGTTCCAGAAATTTCTTTTCATCTGTATCTGATTTTTCTTTTTGATGAATCTATTGACTTTCATTTTAAAATCGAAGTGTAATTGATTCACAATGTTGTGTTAGTTTCAGATGGACAGCACAGTGATTCAGTTACACACACATATTCGTTTCCTTTATAGGTTATTACAAAATGTTGGGCATAATTCCCCTTGTTGTTTATCTGTTTTACAGACAGTAGTGTGTGGATCTTAGCTCCAAACTCCTAATTTATACCTTCCCCCATCTGCTTTGCTAACCACAAGTTTGTCTTCTGTGTCTATAAGTCTGTTTCTGTTTTGTAAATAACTTCATCTATATCATGTTTTACATTTCACATACAATTAACATTATATGACATTTGTCTTAGTTCACTTAGTATGATAATCTCTAGGTGCATCAATGTTGCTACAAATGGCATTATTTCACTCTTTCTAAGGCTGAGTGGCATTCTATTGTACGGATGCTCCACCTCTTTATCCGTTCACCTAGTGATGGACAAACACTGTTTCTAAGCCCTGGTTACTGCAAACAGTGCTGTGATGGACATTGGGATGAATGTTTCTTTCCTAATCAGAATTTTCTCCAGGTACATGCCCGGGGTGGGGTTCCTGGATCCTATGGGAGCTCCATTTTGGTTTTTAAAGGAACCTCCATTCTGTTCTCCATCGTGGCTGCACCAGCTTACACTCCCACCAACAGCGCGGGAGGGCTCCTTTTTCTCCACACTCTCTCCCCATTTATCATTTGTAGACTTTTTAATGATGGCCATTCTGAGCAGGGTGAAGTGATACCTCTTTGTATTTTTGATTTCCATTTCCTTACTAATTAGCAATGTTGAGTGTGTTTTCACGTGCCTGTTGACCATCTGTACGTCTTCTTTGCAGAAATGTCTAGGTCTCCTGCTCATTTTTTTATTGGGTTGTTTATCTTACAGTTTTTGGGTTGCATGAAGTATTTGTATATTTTGGAAAGTAAGCCTATGTCAGTCTCATCATTTGCAAATATTTTCTCCCAGTCTGTAGGTTGTCTTTTCATTTTGTTTATGCTTTCATTCACTGTGCAAAAGCTTATAAGCTTAAGTCCCACTTGTTTATTTTTGCTTTTATTTCTATTGAGTTGGAAGACTGATCTAAGAAAACACTGCAATGATTTATGTCAGAATGTTTTGCCTATGTTCTCTTCTAGGAGTTTCATAGCATCCTGCCTCATATTTAAGTCTTTAAGTCATTTTGAGTTTATTCTTGTATATAGTGTGAGGCAGTGTTCTAACTTCATTGATTTATATGCAGCTGTCCAGTTTTCCCAATACCACTTGCTGAAGAGACTGCTTTTTCTCTATTGTATATTCTTGTCTCCTTTGTTGAAGGTTAATTGGTCATAGATGTGTGGGTTTATTTTTAGACTCTCTGCTCTGTTTCATTGATCTATAGTTCTGTTTTTGTGCCAATACCATGCTGTTTTGATCACTGTAACTTTGTGGTATTGTCTGAAGTCTGGGATGGTTATGCCTCAAGCTTTGTTCTTCTTCTCCCGCATTGCTTCGGCGATTCTGGGCCGTCCATGGTCCTACATAACTTTTGGGGCTGTTTGTTCTAGCTCTGTGGAAGATGCCACGGGTAGTCTAATGCGGGTTGCATTAGATCTGCAGTATGGTCGCTTAATGATTGTTCTTCCAGTCCAAGAGCACGTGGTTTCTTTCCATTTTTAAAACAGTTTTCAATTTCCTTTATTAGACTTTTATAGTTTTCAGCATATAAGTCTTTCACCTTCTTGGTCAGTCTTTGTGGTTGTTGTTCAGGCCCTAAGTCATGAATGTCTCTCTGCAACCCCATGGACTGCAGCACACCAGGCTTCCCTGTCCTTCACTATCTCCTGGAGTTTGTTCAAAGTGATGTCCATTGAGTCAGTGATGCCGTCCAACCATCTCATCCTCTGTCGTCCCCCTTCTCCTACTGCCTTCCATCTTTTCCAGCATCAGGGCCTTTTCCAATGAGTCAGCTCTTTGTATCAGGTGGCCAAAGTATTGGAGCTTCAGCTTTACAACCAGCCCTTCCAGTGAATATTCAGGGTTGATTTCCTTTAGTATTGACGGTTTTAACTCCTTGCAGTCCAAGGGACTCTCAAGAGTCTTCTCCAACACCACAGTTTGAAAGCATCAATTCTTTCGTGTTCCACCTTCTTTGTAGTCCAACTCTCATATTAATACACAACTACTGGAAAAACCATGGCTTTGACCCTATGGGCCTTTAATACACCGTGTAGGTTTGTCATAGCTTTTCTTCCAAGGAGCAAGCATCTTTTCATTTCATGGCTGCAGTCAATTCCTGCAGTGATTCTGGAGCCCAAGAAAAGAAAATCTGTCACTGTTTCCATTGTTTCCCGTCTATTTGCCATGAAGCGATGGGACCGGATGCCATGGTCTGAGTTTTAATGCTGAACTTTAAGCCAGCTTCTTCACTCGCCTCTTTTACCCTCCTCAGGAGGCTCTGAGATTCCTCTTCACTTTCTGACATTAGAGTGGTGTCATCTGCATACCTGAGTTATTGATATTTCTCCTGGAAATCTTGATTCCAGCTTGTGATTTATCCAGCACAGCATTTTGCATGATGTACTCTGCATAGAAGTTAAATAAGCAGGGTGACAATACACAACTTTACATACTCCCTTCCCAATTTTGAACCAGTCAGTCGTTCCATGTCCAGTTCTAATTGTTGCTTCTTGACCTGCATACAGGTTTCTCAAGAGGCAGGTAAGGTGGTCTGGTATTCCCATCTCTTTAAGAATACTCCACAGTTTGCTGTCATCCTCAGAGTCAAAGGCTTTAGTGTAGTCAATGAAGCAGATTTTTTAAAAGAATTCCCATGCTTTTTCTATGGTCCAGCATATGTTTGCAATTTGATCTTTGGTTCCTCTGCCTTTTCTAAATCCAGTTAGTACATCTGGAAGCAGTTTACATACTGCTGGTCAGTCTTATTCCTCAATATTTTGTTTTTTTGATTCAATATTTAAAGAGGTCATTTAAAAAATTTCTCTTTCTGATATCAATATTTCACTGTTAGCATAAAGAAATGCAACAGATCTGTATATTTTACTTTTCATTATTTTAGGTCTATTTTTTCCCCCTCAGAGCAGGTCCTTTTTGGAATATCTTGTCTTTGGTTATTTTCAATTTCCTCCTTTAGAAAAACATTTTAAATGCACTTATTTGTATTCCGTGCTTGATGAGTCCATCGTCTCCAGTTGTGGGGATGCGGTTTCACTGTCTGATCTGCTGACTGGCTCACCATGCTTTCTTGTGTGTGTGCGTGCTACGTCACCCAGCTGTGTCCGCCTCTGTGCAACCCTATGGACTGTAGCTGCCAGCTCCTCTGTCCACGGGGTTTCCCCGGCAAGCATACGGGGGTGGGCTGTCATGCCCTCTTCGAGGGGATCTTGCCAATCCAGGGATCAGACCTGCGTCTCTTGTCTCCTGCATTGGCAGGTGGGTTCTTTGTGTGGTTTGTACATTTAGGCCTGAGCTCACCTTTGGGGTTGGTTTACGGGAATTTGGGAGGCCTGGGCAAGGATTTCCTTCTGGGAGAACCTGTGTTTGCATCTGCCAAGCCCCCCAGTGCTGCCCAGTCAGGAGTGCTCTGCCTGCATGTCTTAGCTCAGAGTCTCTGTAGTGAGCAGCATAACAAGAAAGCGATTTGCAGGAAGGCACAGCTGGGGTGACAGATCCCGGGAAAGAGGCGGCCAGGAAGGAGGACAGCCCAGCAGGGGAGCTGGCAAAGGAATACTATGGGGAGCCTGAGTCCACTGGGATCAACCAAGTACAGTGAAAATAATACCATAACGTTTTTTGTTTACAAAATTGGTGATAATTGAAAGAATATGAAACTGCTGGGGTGTTAGCTAAATCACATCCATTCCCAGTGAAAATACACATCAGCACATTTCAGGGAAAGCTGCTTGACAACATAATTAAAAACACTAAAAACACCCTTTTCATGCTTCATGTCCTTTAACCAGGAATCTGAGATTGTCATACAGATTTGTTTGGTTAAAATAATAAGATATTAGAAACAACCTAAGCTATGAATGACTGAGTAAACTCAGCACATTTATAAACAGAACATCACACTCCCTTAACAATGCTGTTTTTGAAGGATGTTGACTGACTTCAGAAAATGTTCATGATATATGATACTTTGTAAAACAGAAGAAGCAGAGTGTACATTACGAACAATGGTAACTTTGAAGTAAACACATGAGCGCAGGGGAGGGACCAGGTGGGTACGCCCACGCCTTCCTCCTGGAGGGCCCCCCCTGATCACACTGCTGCACCTGTAGTCAGAGGAGCAGAAATAGGAACCGGTTACCCAGAAACCAGGCGCGAGAACAGGCTGCCCAGAGAGGTCGGTGACCGGCCTTCAGTCTTCAGTTCCCAGCAAAGCTACTGTTAAGTTCCTAAGGGAGAAAATACCTATTTTCTGTCATCTGTTAACACCCATAATCTGCACCACAAACGTCACGAAACAGAGCTGAAGGCGCAAATACTTGAGGGAAATGCAATGAGTCCAGTGCTCACCCCTCTTCTAACTCCTCTGAAATTAGAAGGCATTGCTCCCCTTCAGGGTGATGGATTTATCTAAATGCTCCTTTGTAATAATTTCTTGATACACAAAAGATTCATTCCACATGACTGGCTGAATTTAATATTCATTTGTGACCCAGTCAGGATAATACAATGACATCCCCAAACTCATTCTTATGAACTTATGAATTTATAGAAGTCTTAGAACTAGACATCTAGTCTAGTGACATATGAAAAGGATGTTTTTAATATTTTAAAATATATTGTCAGTAAGGACTTGTTTTCCTGAAGCCAAGGAAAGGTGATCAGAGAACATGTAGGATACTCTGTAGTTCTTAACTCCTTTCTTTGTAAGCCCTTTGGGCACCCACTAAGCTGTGGTCTGTGAAAAGTTAGCTCAGAGAATACACTACTTAGCTGATGTTTGATTGCATGGAGTCTGGAGTCAGATAGGCTGTGTCTGGCTACACTGTTGATGAGCCCGGCAGTCTCTGCCAGCCTCTTTCTGCACCCAAGGCCTTTGCAGACCCTTTCAAGTGTTTGGAATTGTCCATCACCCTAACTTGTGTACTGCACATGTTTGGACCCCCGTGGTGTCATGGGCAAAAAAATTAGAGAGTATCTGTTGCAGATTTTGCTGTTTTCCCGGCAGTCCCAGTACGTTTTTCACTATCATTTACCAGAAAACCTTTACGTGTGCCCTGCAACGGTGTGGTCCTCAAGTTTATGTAATTGGGTTTCAGACTTGACATCACACCCCCAAATCCTGACCGGGGCATCTTAGGGTGGAAGGTGACCTCTGGGATCTTCCCTGAGGCTTCACCTAGGGGTGTCAGAGGATTCCATTGTGGTGAATGGAGAAAACGCGTTAAAAACAGCAGAGGAGCCTCGCACATAAGAGCCGTGGCCTGAGCCGTCCTCCGAAGCGACCGCTCTGTTCCCCACTGTGGGTAGACGTCTGCACTGTCCCTGGGCGCCTCTCCGGGACCGGTGAGGGGTCGGGCTGGCCTGGCTGCGGTTCTGCTACTGACGGTGTCCAGCGCGGGGCCCCCCGAGCGAGGCGGGACCGCTGTCGGTCAGCATGTGGGTCAGAGGCCACTTTACTCTGAACTGTTAAAACCCTGTCCTCCCGAAACAAGGGCGCAAACTAAAAACCCAGTCAGGCGGCTCATTCAGCCTCAGCCCTGGGTCAAGCGGCCGCTCCGCTTTGCTTTCCCGACGCTGAGTGGATGGCGCGCACGTGCTCTTCTGAAACAAGGGGAGGCCGGAGTTCTGGCTGCCAGTACCGTCCTGGAACAAAGAGACCTCGCCTGGTATCCCGGCGTCTCCGCCAGCGACGTGACTCAGCCCAGGGAGCCCTGCTGGGTCAGAGCCAGCCAGGGCCCCTCGCAAGGCAGGGTCCCGGTCCCTGCGTCTCCGTCTCCGGGTGCACAGACTCAACGTACCCCATTCACATTCAATGCTGCATTCTTGTTCTCCCAGAGAGTCCTGAGATTCTCTAAGCTTGAGGCCTACAGGATGATTCCTGGGGGTGGGGGCGGGGGAACTTTGCTGGGGGCGCCGGCTGAAGCTGCAGAGGTGACTATCAGGGGACAGAAGGGTGTCCCGGTGGCCGAGGTGCCCCCAACGGGACACCAATGGGGGGCGGGGGGGGGCGCGTTTCCAGGGCCTCATTGTGAGCCGCCCAGCAACACACACGTCCCTGCGCGACTCCACCAGGGGAGAGGCTGTAACGGTCACGTGTCACCGTCACGGGTTTGAGACGTCGATTTACTTGGGAAAATGCTCTACACTGTGTCCCCGTCATCGCGTGATCAGGGAGGGGGGAAACAGCCACGGAGCTTCCCCTTCTCGAAGCCTCGGAGCCTGGGGGCGAGGCGCCGCGGTGGACGCCGGGATGGGACCCTGCGCACTGAGCCGCTGAGGCTGCCGGGAGGAGATGCCCGCCCTCGCCCCGCCGGCACCCGCCCGCTTTGTGGGGCCCGGCGGCGAGCGCGTCCCCCGCAGCCCCAGCCGTCCACGCGCCTCCGCCGCCCGGAGCTGCCGGCAGAGTCCTGTGTGTGCCTGTGTGTGCAAACGCCGAGTCATAACTAAGCGACGGAGCCTCCGCACGGCCTGCCAGGCCTGCTGCGCGTCTGCCTTCCCCGGGACTATTAATAGCTCCCGTTCTCTCCGGAGAGGCCAGGTTTGGCCGATATTTTATACAGCCACCCTATTTATAACCCAGTAGTGGGTTATGCAATCAATTCCGAAGGTGACAACCAACACTTAAAAGAAGGTAGCATGGAAAATGTGGCTTTATGAAGTGTTTGTCTTGGCTCACAATGTGAAATGCATTTCTAACTGTGGATTTCAATCAGGAGTTGAAAGCCCCTTGGCTGGACCAGAGACTTGATCCGGGAAACCTCTGATTACAGCCTGGCTCGGCCCATCGCCTCACCCCGCAGCTGAGGCACAAACACCCTGACTTATTCTCTTTTGAACCCGCGGAAGCCCCATGCTTTGTAACACAAAATATAATTCATTCTCCCAGACCTTTTGGTAATGATTAACCTGAGTACCTGGGGCCCTGGGAATGCAAAGGAAACCACCGTTGATACACAGTGTCTGTCTCCAATGGGAACCACTTGATTAAAAGGCAGGCCCCTGTCTCTGCGGCACATACAACGTCCTTTTGGGTGAACAAGACTAACACAAACTCTGAAAAATGGACGAGTAAGCGCTGACCTGCGCTTCTAACTGCGAACTCAGAGCCAGTGGCCAAGACACAGCAGGGCCTGGAGGGGCGGGGCGGGGGCCCCTCGTGGCTGGTGACGGGGACTGGCGCGGCGCGTGGGGGCGCTGGGGACACCGGGATGTCTCTGGGCGGGGGGCGGGGCCGTCCCAGCTCCACCGGAGGCATCAGTAGCGCACGATACTCACTCCGCTTGGCAGCTGCTCCAAACACACCGGTCCTGCTGGGTCTCCCAGCTACTCCGAGAAGGCACCGCAGGGACCCTAGCATGCCGTCCTGTGGGGCGGCAGGCGGAGGGCGCAGCGGGCAGGATTTGCTGCCCACGGCAGGACGCAGAGTGGGCTGGCCAGCCCGGGGCCTTTCCTCGTGGTGGCTTTGGCGTGGGGCAGGATCCTGGAGCCTCTGGACCAGCAGCAGGGCCAGGAGGCAGCCTCTGCCTCCCGTGCAAGGAGGCTCCTGTTCTCACCTCAAAGATGGAAGCTGGGTCCTCTTCATTTTAGGGGCCGCCAGAAACTACAGCCCCGCCCATCTTCAGGGCCTCTGGGCTAGGCTCAGGTTCGCGGTGAGGCTCACTGTCACGCTGGTAACAATCTTACTGTTGAATTTTTCTTCCTGAAGGTCGTTGGCAAGTATTTTTTAAGACCCACCCATTCTGATTGGAAGATTCTAACTATAACCTAATCGTGATGGTGCTTTGCAGTTTACAGAATGTAACACAAACGTTAATTCATTCTCTTCTTCCAGTGGCCTATGAAGGAGCAGACATATTCTTGCCACACTTCTCTTATACAGATGGGACCTGAGTCCGGGGAACAGTCCTAAGGCGCGGGGCCACGGAGGTGCAGGGTTGAGACTCCACCCAGACCCTAGTGTCCTCCCTCCAGAGGCCCCTCCCTGAGGGCAAGTTACCCATCTGTTTCAGCTTTTTCCTTTAAGAGGAATTGATCAGTTCTGCAGATAAGGACGTGGACGTCACCACTCTATCCGAACAAAGAGCACATTGGAAGTTAACAGCTCTCCTTGGTCCACAAGAGAAGGGAGCACATAGCACAGACTGCTTTCCCAAGCCTGGGAGGACACAGGAGCTGGGGCTTCCCCCAACAGAACCGCGAGACTGCCCGTTAAGCTGCAGGAATCAGCCACTGGTGCAGCGTAAAGGACAGAAAAGGATGTCAGCGAGCAGGACAAAACAGTCTAGAAACAGACCCACGTGATAGTAACTGGTCTTTGACAAAAAACTACAGGCAATACAGTGGGGCAAAGACAGCCTTTCCAACAAATGTTGTTGCGACAACTGGACATCTACATGCAAAAAAATGAACCTAGACACACCCTTATACTTTCACAAAAATTAACTCAGAACGGGCTATAGCCCTAAAGAAAGTAGGAAGTTGCTCAGTTGTGTCTGACTCTTTGTGACCCCATGGGCCATAGTCCACCTGGCTCCTCTGTCCTTGGGATTCTCCAGGTAAGAATACCGGAGAGGGTTGCCATTTCCTCCTCCAGGGGATCTTCCTGACCCCGGGATCAAACTGGGTCTACTGCATTGCAGACAGATTCTTTACCATCTGAGCTATCAGGGAAGCTCCTATAGATGTAAAGGTAAAGTGCAAAACTGTAACTGTTAGAAAATAACATAGGAGAAAACCTAGATCCCCTTGGGTTGTGATGCTTTTTAAAATACAATGCCTACATGTATACCTATGACTGATTCATGTTGAGGTTTGACAGAAAACAACAAAATTCTGTAAAGCAATTATCTTTCAATAAAAAAATAAAATAAATACAATGCCAAAGGCACCCTTCATGAAAGAAATCATTGATATGCTGGACTTAAATAAAATTTAAAAATTCTACCCTGTGAAAGAATTTCAGAGAATGAGAAGACTGGCCACAGATAGGGAGAAAATATTTGCAAAAGCATCTGATAAGGATTGTTATTCAAGACATAAAAAGAAGTCTTAATACTCAATAATGAGAAAACACACAACCCAATAAAAAATGGGACAGAGACCTTAACAGGTGCCTCTCCAAAGAACGGATCCAGGTGGCAAACAGGCAAATGACAAGATGCTCCCAGAAAGCACAGGTCAGGGCGTCAGGGCGGACAGACACCCTGAGGGCAGCGTCCACGGCGAGCAAGCGCGTTCGGACCCTGCACTCACTGGGGACCCCGGGGGTGAGCGTCCCTTCGCTGTGAAGCGGTGACTAAAGGCAGAGTTCTCCCTCGTGGGCTTGTCGGGGGATTCAATGAGCCAATCCATGCGAGAGCTGTAAACACTCCCAGTAAATGCCCGAGACATGATTTATGGCGCTTGGTTTGATTTTATAACGAAGACCATTTTTATGAAGAAAGAGGTCCTCGAGGTTGTTAATCCGCGCCCCGAGTCCTCCTGGGTCAGGCTCCGTCTGTGCTCGCTCCGCTTCACCCAGCGCCTCGAGTCACAGCCACCGTCTCCCCACGGGCAGCGTGGTCCCGCCTCCCGCACGGCCGCCAGCATCGTGCGGGGGGGACGGGGAGACGGGGTGACGGGCGCGCTCCTGCTGACCGCAGCTCCTCCTCCCATCTGCGGGGCTCAGAGGCGCCCCGGAGCCGACGGGGAGACGTAGGCTTTGCGCTGGGCCCCTGCGGTCTCTGCTGCAGCCTTCAGGACCTCTGAGGAACTGAACCTGAGCCCAGCTGGGCGCCCCAACAGCACTGTCCCGGGGGGAAGTGACCAGGCCCCCGCGCGGCAAGTCGGGGTCACCTGGGGACGTCACTCACAGGACCCCGAGGTCACTGTCCTCCCGAGGACGAGCTGAGGCTTCAGGAAGGAACAGGAGACGGGGGTCCAGACGGTCCCCACCACTGACGCCCCCTCAGCACAGGCTGGCTCCCCGTGGAGACCGCACCCGAGCGGCGGGCAGCCTGGCCACAGGCCGCGGGCGACCCTCCAGAGGCGCGGGTCCTAGGGTCCAGGGGCCCTGCCCCTGTCTGCACGGCCCCCTGTTTTCAGTCACCGCAGGGACCGCGCCTTTGTTGGTATGGACGCGTTAGAGGAAAATGGATTTTCTTTTAAAACCAAAGGTGACATTTCTGAGATTAAAAAGAAAGCAGTAGATATTTTGGAATGTTTTCTCCCACTGAGACCTATTTCGAGCACAGGGTTTATGATAAAGAAAAGGCGACAGAAAAAGAGGTCGGAGCCTGTGCTTTGCCACCGAGCATCCTGATCCTAGAAACACCAGGCAAAGCCCACAGGGAGCCGGGCTTTGAGGCGAGGGAAGGACAGAGAAAGGCTGGGGCCGGGAGAGGCTGGGCCACTCCACCAGAGCCGCCCTGGCTCCTCGGAGGGACGCACCCTGGGCAGGGGCCCAGACAGCAGTCAGACAGCAGCTTCGCAAAGACGTCCGGAGCTGGGTTACACCCGGGCTGCTCACACCCGAGGCGGCCCGTGTGTGTGTGTGGCCGGGGGCCTGCCGCTCGCCTTCCCCCAAGCTCAGAGGCTGCAGGACAACCAGCCTGCCGGGTTCCCTGAACCACTCCTGCTATAAAGTCGCCTCCAAACAGGCTTCAGGAAATGCTCAACAGCAGGAAGTTTGACGGTTGAGTCTCCCCGTTGTCCTGACAGAGTCTAGGTGGAGGCAAATGTCACTGAGAGATGATTTGTCAAACAGCAGAAATTTGTTCTGGGGGGACTTAAAACTATTTGAATATAGAAGTAATGTATTTGCTGACTTTTGAAGTAGAAAGTATAACCAAACCACTAAAGGGAACATGCAGCTTCACTGTTTCCTGTCCTTCATCTGCATGTTTCCGGGCTTGCAGTCTCTCGCTGTCCTTGTCCGGCCCGGAATGCCCACCTCCCACCCCCATGATGGGTGGTACCACCCTAACAGTGGGGAGGGGAGCTTCTCCCAAAGCCTGTCCTCTCTTTCTAGGTCTGTAACAGATCGCAAACACCCAGTAAAACAAACATTGCTAATTTCCATATTTTCTTCAATTATCTCTTTGGACTACAGACTTTCAGTCCTGAGATGTGCATGTCACGTGGAGAAACGGACAGGATTATCCAGCGAGTATCCTGGTTGCCCCCATCCTACCCTGGAGCAGCGCCTCCCTTCCTGACGGCCTGGGGGGTGTGGCTGGGGCTGGTGGGGACCCAGCTCTGCTGGCTGGGCTCCCCGTCCTGAACCCCCAGGTGTCACCCCGCCTGCCTCACCTCCCTGACGCAGTGCTGCCCCATCATCTGATGAGCAGTCCATGCTCTGAGCGTGCCCTCGCGTGCCCTGAAGAAGCCCCGGGACGCTTCCTCCCGCCACTCGATGCAAAGTGAGGCCAAGACAGCGCCCTTGGTGCTTGTTTGGAGGCAGAATGGGGCCGGCCACTGTAACAGAGCTGAGGGTGGGCCCGCCTGCACCGTTAGTGCTCCAATCCTGGCCTCCGCCGGCCGCGGGCCATCCCTGTGGAACCCCCAGCCCCACCCCGACTCGGGGACATCGTGGTCCTGCGGGACCTGGGGGTGAGAGGTGGAAGGCATCTGACGCAGAAGGACCGCACACATTAGGGACGGGGACCCTGGGGGAGGCGGCACTAGCGGTCAGTGTGAGAGTTCCTGCAGTGGTCTGAAAGCTGAGAGGAGGCCGCAGAAATATTTTTAGGAATATGGCATAACATGGAAGAAATGTGTCTGCTTGAAGCATGGGAAGGTTGAAATGCCAAACAGTTCTCTTGGCTAAATTTAGCAGAAGTGCTCTTTATTTAAGACCTATGTTAGCAAATATATAATGTGGGAGACGTATGGAGTGCCTGGCCTGGTG